TGGAAGCACTGGACAACCGAAGGTTTTGCGTTCAGATCCCGCGAATGAAATCATGGATGCGCACTGCTGAGGAGTCTCATACTAGGACGAAATGGTCGTCTAATGCTTCCAGCTTTTCGATAGTCTAGCTTTAATCGCTTGATGAATTCAACTAGAAAATATTCAGACGAAACGATCCATTGATTATCAATGAATCTCATATCAAATTACCAAGTTAGATGAAAAAACAACAAAATAAATGGACAATACTCTAGCGGTGAAACAATGAATAGATTAAATCCAAAGTGCGACCTCAAGTATGGGTCACTTTGAATCCTCAAATTTAAATGGTACACCTGTTCTGTGAATGCCTAACTTTCTATTTTTCTAACGTACCTGCTTTTTGTATCATTTAAATTGGTATACACAGTTGGAGGAAATATATGAAGGTGGTTTTCTACCCTTGTTTCGAGTTTTTAGCATCGTGCTAAATTTGCTGGAACAGTTTTTACTTCATGAATGCTTTGCTTAGAACTATCTTCATTTTCTGAATAATTTCATCTTCGATCTGATCAATTTCGACCAGTGATAAGATGAAACCATGTTTCATTTCAGACTGATTAAATCCTATCTTTGTGTTGTGCTTGTTGCTCTAAAGTACCTATGTTCTCAGATATACATTTTTGTTGCTGTATACTCCTCTTCTGGTTCCGTCAAGGACAGCTTTCTGAGATGTATTTCACTGAGGAGAAAGCAATGTACCACAATGAATTCATAGTATTTTGTAAACACTGTCATTCTTGTAACATTTAAATCTGTAGAGGGAGTCATGGTATTCAATTATTTTTTCTACTTGATTCCAACCATGACTAAAGGAAATATAGCTAACCGGTTACAATGTTTTATAGTAGCAGTATGTACTTTAGTAATAATTTCACTAAGACTTTAACGTACCAGTATATACCCTAACATGCCGAAGAGAATGAACTGCTGTATCTCTGTGAATGTCAAACAATACTGACTTTGTTATTATTAGTAAGTCAGTCAGCCACAAAGTACGATCAGGCACATATATGCATCTGTCCAAGTTGCCATACACAACAAGATGAACACCAAATTTATAGAAGTAGTTACTTCAATGGTAGTAATATATAAAAGAAAGATTGTGTATAAGAATATAGTATAGGAAAAAAGAATAAGTTCGTTGAAAGAAAGGTATAAAGTTATTTTAATCTCATGGTTTAAGGGAAGACAGAGAGTGTGTACACCTACGTCATTGTAATAGATTTTGAGCCATGTCACCCACAGTCTCCAATCATTGGTTACGATAGTCACGCGGACCCCAACCAAGTAGTCTGCATCTATCAACATGGCTCAGACCAGAAGTTAGTGACTTCAAGCACTGATGCCACGTTTTGGTTTGACCGCCCCTAACTTTCTCCCAACCATCTCTGTCCATGAAAACTTACAACCTCATCAACTGACTTACCATCATTCCCTAATACCCTGCGTCCAACCTCACTGTTACATACCCGGTGATCCCAGCAGATGAGAGCAATATTTTTAAGACGTCTGTGATCAAATACTGGTAACTTAAGAGATCCCCTACTCTTAATGGCCATGTTTCGCAGCCGTAAAGTAGAATAGAACGAACTGCCACACAGTGGGCAGTTAAAATTAATTGTATGCATAATTTAGATTTTTTATACTATTCATAGTCAATTTACTTGACTCACCATTTCAATTGTTCCAATACAATTTTTTGTTGTCAGAATGGAGATTTGTGGAGAATGTAGTAATTTTGATAGTTGATTTCATGAGTGGTGGTCTAGTTTAGATCAACTCGTGAATTCTACAATTTCTTATCTTAATAATGTTGTATATTGGTTGTGATAATAAAAATATTCATCTTTAAATTATTGAAATCCGATCCTTGTAGATTTATTACATGTATTATCGATAGGCTTATCTACTTATTACTTATTTTCAGAGGTTTTCTCATGTCACTCTATTCTTTTCTACTTATTAAGATGTTCAACTTCTTGTTGTGCACTATAATAGATAGCTTTATCTTCTTCGTATTCATGTTAAACCATTAGTGGTTGCATAGTTTTTTTTTAAATGAACATTTGGTTATTTTGAGTGGAAAAGTATTAACATTAACAATTCACGGTAGGCAGAGATGGAATCCAAGATGCAGGTTTCGTCCTATTCAGGGCTTTTCAGATGGATGTACCTGAATCTCAGAGTTGGTGTTCACTTCGGGACTCGAACTCATTACCGTTCACTTCGAACACCAACGTGTCATCTACTTAACTACTGAGTTCAGATAACCATTTGCTTGTACAATGAGATGAAGTTTAATTTGATTTTGTATTGGTTGTTTGAATTTTCCAGTTGACGCTTAAGACTGCAATCCATATTTGCTCATAATGCTTGTGATATCAAGGCTATCCGCACAGAATGCACAAATGCCAATAAGAGATCGATCAATTGCAGTCCTAAGTGTCAATAAGAAGACTTAAACAACCACAATACAAAAATGAATTAACAATACACTTTTAAGAAAACTACTATCAAATTACTAAGGTTAAAATTCTAACATGACAAATAAAGCCATATTGAATTATAATCTGTTTTTATTATGACAAGAACAATAATAATAAACATTAAAATAATAACAATTCTGTGAATGTAAATAATTATATTTACTAACCAATACGATTAGCATAGACAACAAAGGCTGATTATCAAGAAACATACAATCTATTTTTCTTTTTAAACGGGTAAGATAAATAGGTCACGCATTTTTGTCTGATATCACATAGGGGAGACCAATTCTGTCAGTAATCAAATCAATATGCATATACATATACTAACATTGGTCTGATAAAAAAAAACACAAGTCTATCTAAAGGATGAAACAGACCTTTTAGGTAAGAATTGTTTTGAGAAATGACTCATTTGAAGATGCGATTGACACTAGTATACAAGTTTGCGTATATTTATGGGTTTCAAAACAGACAATTAAAGTGCTTGATGAATTTTTTGTTGTTGCTACGTTACGACCACAAACGTTGATTCCAAATACAGAATATCTAGGTAAAAGTTTACTCTAGAAGGTCTGACATGTAACGTTTGTTACTGGTTCATAACGAAGCACTGGACGGCTGCTTCGTCCTAGTATGGGACGAGACGACCGTCCAGTGCTTCCAGGTTTTCCATGGTGGTCTAGCTTCAATTGATTCATGATTTCAACTATTGAAAAGTTTACTCTCATTATGAATTTTGACTAAATCAATAAATAAAAATTATTAATGTAGCTTTCTAAAAAACAAATAAAGATTTGAAGTCAATGACAAAATGGATCACTTTTGTTAAATAAAGTTTTGGATGAGCATCCACCGAAATTTGAACAGCTTGATGGAAAATGAGCACGGAGTATATGGAAGGCATTAAATATAAAAGTCGTAATACATCTTTATCATATTCCTCAGAAGTTCTGATTAGGATCCCAGACAAGATGTTGGAAGTATTTAAATTTCAATGAGATTATTCAAAAACAATTTCTACATTTATATATCGACTTTATTTACGTATATAGAGGTTATTGACGATAGCAGATAGTTTTCGTCCTGAAATAAAATGAGCTGGAGAGAACACTCGACAACTCTTTCTCGTTGAATTAGGGTTCATCACACAAATCAAGCCTTCAACTTTTGAGAGGAGCATGATAATATTAATAAATCTCGATCTATTAATTCAGACAAATTAAAATCACAATCATCAATATATTTTTAGGAAGTAAGGATTGTGCTAGCACTTTGTTAATTAAGACAAATTGTATGTATCTTGCTGAATAGCAGGTCGTCATGTAACTAAGTCTTTACTTGAATGCAGTCAGTAAATCAAGCCGAAATAGTAAGCAGTTGTTTTAGTTCAGTGAATTTTATGTGGATATAGTAACAACAGTAGAATATGATCAAGTTTTGCACATTCCCGTTAGATGTCATACGCAACTGATTACCAGTAAATAAGTTTGATCAGAAATAATGACCATTTTCATCCTTATTTACTTGACGCGGTAAACAACACTAGGTTAATGATGAAGCTCATGAGAAGTGGTCAATGAGAGGATTTAACGAAGAATGTAATTGAACCACTGCATGTGTAATATCTGACACCCACTTGTCTAGTCTAAATACTTTCTAAGCATAATACTAACAGTCGAATATCAAATTAATCATTTATTCATACTGCATAAATTTTATAGGAATGAAAGAGCACGAGTAGTAATCTGAAGAGTGAATACTGATCGAGAAAGATTAGTTGTTCAAATCGTATAAAATACTGGGGTACGAGATGTGTGCTTTAAAATGTTTAGTCATTGGCCTGATTAACCCACTTCAAAAGTCATAGATTCTGTGAAATCAATTAAGCTTTTTTAGTTGAGGTTACGAGAGCCGAACGACCATTGGAAACCAGTGTTAGACACATGTGGCATCCTGTTAAAATTTGTAGAATACATCGGTTTCATAATGAACACGACACACTCCGACCAGTCTGAATTGGACACTAATAAAGCTAATTTTTGAGTAACGTCGTTCGGTGCCCTTGATTACGGTTTCCACAACCCAATGGATGTTAGAGACACAATCAAGAGAGCCCGTAGGACGAGGTTTCGGTCACATGAAACGTCAGATGGAAATAAATACTACATCACAGAATGTTAAGTAGCAGCATCTTATAATAACCCTTAACTGACGCAAAATATACCACCCTCATTATCATGAAGTGCCTTAGATAATCAACCCAATGTAACGTTAGATTTCTACATCCGAAACATTACTACATTCCGACCTAAACCACTAACGAACAATACAGAACCCTCAACCCTCCAAACGACGGGATAAATGACGCCAGGACTTTAACGTCGGACACTCAGATGAATAATACTTGTTCAGAATCACTATAACGCAACTCTCAACACTAATAGGTCTGAGAAGAAAAATATGCAAATTACTGGGATGTAAAAAAATATATTTCAAGTAGTAGTCAAGTAACATTAAAAACCACCATCATCAGAGTGTGCATCTACAGTATCTGAAGCAACTTCTTCGTAATCTCTTTCTAGAGCAGCCAGGTCTTCGCGAGCTTCTGAAAACTCGCCTTCCTCCATGCCTTCACCAACATACCAATGAACGAATGCGCGTTTCGCGTACATGAGATCAAACTTCCGGTTCAAACGAGCCCATGCCTCTGAAATCGCAGTAGTATTGCTAAGCATGCAAACTGCGCGCTGAACCTTGGCCAAATCTCCTCCAGGAACAACAGTGGGTGGTTGATAGTTAATTCCAACTTTGAAACCGGTGGGACACCAATCAACAAACTGAATAGATCTTCTAGTTTTGATATTTGCGATTGCTGCGTTTACGTCTTTAGGAACAACGTCACCTCGGTATAACAAACAACAAGCCATGTACTTCCCATTTCTTGGGTCACACTTGACCATTTGATTAGCAGGTTCAAAACACGAATTGGTAATTTCTGAAACGCTCAGTTGTTCATGGAATGCCTTTTCTGCTGATATAATGGGTGCATATGTCGTTAATGGGAAGTGGATACGTGGGTAAGGAACCAAATTGGTTTGAAACTCGTTTAAATCCACGTTTAAAGCACCACTAAATCGAAGAGAAGCAGTAATGGAGCTAACAATTTGTCCAATCAATCGGTTAAGATTGCTGTATGTTGGTCGATCAATAGTTAAATTTCGTCGACATATCTCATAAATAGCTTCATTATCAACCATAAAGGCACAATCTGAATGTTCTAGCGTTGTATGTGTAGTAAGAATAGAGTTGTAAGGTTCAACAACAGCTGTTGAGATATGAGGGGCTGGATATACAGCAAACTCCAACTTGGCTTTTTTACCGAAGTCAACGGAAAGACGTTCCATCAAGAGAGATGTAAAACCAGATCCCGTCCCTCCACCAAATGAATGGAACACTAAGAAACCTTGAAGTCCTGTGCACCTTTCAGATAATTTCCGAATACGATCTAGAACCTCATCGACCAACTCTTTGCCAACTGTGTAGTGACCACGGGCATAATTATTAGCAGCATCTTCCTTCCCGCTTATCATTTGTTCTGGATGGAACAACTGCTTATAAGAGCCAGTCCGCAGTCTGTCAATAACTGAAGGTTCCAAGTCTACGAAAACAGCACGTGGGACGTAACGACCGTAGCTAGTCTCGCTGAAGAACGTACTGAAGGAGTCGTTATCGTTTTTAATAGTCGAGTCGCTAGGTACCTTGCCATCAGGTTGTATTCCATGTTCGAGGCAGTAGAGCTCCCAACAAGAATCACCCATCTGAGTTCCGGCCTGACCAACATGTAGACTGATACATTCGCGCTAAGAAAGGAATATATGAGGATAGAGATAAACACTATGAAATAAACATATATAAGAAACTATTTATCTTGATATAAAACATATTGTAAAGTGTAAATAATTGATCTTTTGTGACGAAGTCTATGTAGGCTGATACAGCATTGATATGAAACAACGTAAAAAGCATTAATCCCATTCGTTTACCTGAACTTATCCTAGTTACTAAGATGCGGGTGAATCGTTAGTTGCATGACTCAAGTTCATATTCGATGTCAAGAAATCGAACTGCATGCTCCAACAACCGTAATGCAGTTTAAATATGTCACGGAATTTCGAATGAGACGACTAAACTGGGTTTCGTATATACTGATATGGTGAAATAAAATCTAATTTAGTTGTGGAGATCGCCACGCTGCTTACCATTTATGCAATAAATTTACTTAATTCCTACTTGACATTACTAAATGACTTACCATGATTGAAAGCAACCGAGCCAAAAGATTCTCTCGTTCAACTATAATGTCGGCCTTAGTTCATGTATTTAACTGAATAGTATGGACAAACCAAGCTCCCCGATTGGTCATCATTGACAATCACTCAATTTTTTAGGGCAGACAGACCAGATCGATTGACATACTAAATTCAACACCCCTACCTAGTCTTAATTTGGATTGGTAAGCATCACAAAGCAAAACAGTTCATGGTCTGATCTATAACTTGACCTCTTGAAAATGTTCACAAAACGACATGTATGATGAGATTTCATTGTGGTTAGCACACAAAAAATTTGATTATGTTGACCTTGCAGAGGAATTAAATTTTTCAATGTGAAGCCAAATCACATAAGTAGTCTTTTGTAACAATTTAAATTTAATGATTGTTTTCTTTACAAAGTGATTAGTTTCCCAGAGCACAGAATCTAAGTATTTTAGTCTAATAATTTAATAAAAAGACCACTTCTATGGGATTTTCAAAATCTAGTTACATCTAAAAAAAATATCCTGATTAAAGATTCAACAACACATTTATTTTAGACAATCTATCGTCACTAAACTTTTATAAACCTGACAATTTAAAAATTGTTACGATCCGTTATTCTCCAATAACATTCTTAATAAATTTGGGGAAAACATTTCAGAAGAATCAAATCCTGATGTCATACCACATTTCGTAAACAACAACGACCCCGCCACGAGAAAGCACTGAGTAGGACTTTCCTGGCGAAGGCTATATACGCGTGGCCATGTGAGAGAGGACTCTCCCCACTCTCGGTTGTACCAGGGCATTTTTGGGTGAATGTTCGACAATATAACCGGGTTGGTGGGCACGGAGTGTTCACCTAGGGAAGTTGGAAAACTCCGACTTCAAACCAATGATGCACATGGGATCCAGTATCCTGCGGGAACAAGTGGCGTATGAACCAATCGTTGGTCACCGGCTACCACAGGAATGCATCTCCTTAAGATGCTCCACTGCCTTGTGGGTCAGATCTTTAGGTCGAAGGCTTCCCCTAAGAAAACCACCTGCTTCGGTTTGGGCACCCGGGCAATATTACAACCCTCACACAAATCAAATGAGATTTGTGTGGCGTATATGTATCTGGTGCTCCCTTGAACCAATATCTATATGCCATACCAAATATTATTTTTCTGCATAATGCATTTGTTTCTTGTGGGGAACTTGTCCGATGTGAACCACGAATCCTAAATGAGCTCGAACTTGATTACAACTCGGTTGATTTCATTTCAACCATTGTTTATCCTTATCATGAAGTCACTTCTAACAGATCCTCTCAAATGCCCTGATACGGCCGAGGGTGGGGAGAATCAGTTCTCTCTCGAAATGCTCCTACATGGCCACGCATATACAACCACTGACAGGGAAATCCTACTTACTGCCTTGGTGAGGGAGGATAGTGTTGGAAAACCTATGGTTCAAATTCTAGATATCAGTGAATTCAGTGCACAACCGCCATGTTGATCATATAAAAATTCCAGGACCCAGGTGAGTCCGTTCCAATTTCATTTGTTAATTCTAATACTAACGAATATATTTTGGATCAGACCGAGTCTATATCCAATACATAGTCTGACAGACATAAAATGAACCTAAGATGTTCAATTGATTACAGAAACTTATATTGCAATTTAAGCTGCAGTGGTTGTGGTGTTTGTATCGCCTGATTTCGAATTTTAAATACAATACGTTTTTTTGTGCTCACCTAGTTTTACCTGACTTAAATTGCGTTATTTCGGGGATTCCAAGTTGATCAGTCAGTCAGTCAGTCAGTCAGCTGCAATGTAGGACCTACGCCATTGTGATCGATTCTGAGCCATGTCACCCACAGTCTCCAATCATTGGTTACGATAGTCACGCGGACCCCAACCAAATAGTCTGCATCTACCAACATCGCTCAGATTAGAAGTTAGTGACTCCAAGCACTAATGTCACATTTTGGTTTGGCCACCTGACCGTTGTTGCTACCTTGACGTGGTGGTCGGGCTTGCCTATCGTGATGAAGCAACTGAGCTATACTGGCTGGAACAACCGTTCCTCAAGGTCCTACCATGCCAGACAGGTCGGTTGAAGAGCGGTAAGACTAAAAGCAACAAAACCAAGGTCCGAAGGCGAAGTCGTACTGCTGACTGTACAGAGGTGTGACAGCAGTAAGGTGTTTCCTTCAGACAACCAGCATGACAGCGATGCTGCCTTCCCACAAGGAGGGGTGGGGTTAGAAAAGGTCGACCCTAAAAATGCACACCTCGCCTTATCCCACGGATATCCGTCTCCGGCGGTAAGGACTCAACAAGTACGGAGCTAACACAAAAATCACTCATAAAAAGGTCGTGTGTGACCGACCTCAAGCAGCTGTCCCTTGGGCACTGCGGTCACGCTCTCAGGTCACTATGACCAACTCTAATCCAATTTCCTTTTCAGGTACCTCCAGCAGAACCCTTCCACGGTGTGGGCAACCGGGAAGTGATGACCGCCCTCATACCTCTAACAGCACTCAAGACCACTGTATTCATAGTCAACCTCCCTCTTCAATTCCTATTATTCCTCCTACATCGACTTTATACACTAAACTTCCTCTTTTAGCTTCCTCCTCAAGTGTCACCACAGCCAACGATTCTAATGCTCAAAACACTGTCCCAGGTCTACTGAAACCTCGCTCCAAACTATACATTGGAGCCTTCAACGTACGCACACTATGCCAAATCGGTCAGCAGGCTTCCTTGGCTAAAACCTTAGAATCTCGTACCATTGATGTATGCTGTGTCTCCGAAACACGCATACAGGATCCTAGTGTGGTCATTCACTTGACCTCACCTCGGCAAAACGGAGAGCCAACGAGATACACCCTCCGCGTATCTGGCGACCCGATGGCTAGTTCTCGTGGACTGGCAGGTGTAGGCATAGCACTTAGCATGAGGGCGGAACAAGCGCTATTAGAGAGGATCCCCGTTAACAGTCGTCTATGCGCTGTTCGGCTAAACGGCTCCGTAAGAACTCGGAAGGATAGGGACACACGTCGTTGCCTTTTCGTCGTTTCTGCCTACGCTCCCACTGACTGCAGTTCGGATGAAGTGAAAGATGAATTTTACAGAAAGCTGTCTGAACTTCTTCAGAAAGCCAAACGTTCAGACATAGTACTCGTAGGAGGTGACTTTAATGCCCAGGTAGGTAGCTTAAACAAAACAGAAAGACATTTAGGTGGATATTTTAGTATTCCGGCACAGCGAACAGATAATGGTGATCGTCTGCTGCAACTGTGCTCAGACAATCGTTTATTTTTAGCAAACACAAATTTTAAGCATAAGGAGAGACATCGTCTAACATGGCGACCCCCTGCACCAAACCAACGATGGACTCAAATAGACCATATTGCCATCAGTCATCGTTGGAGAGGGTCAATAGAAGATTGTCGCTCATTCTGGGGTACCTGCTTGGACTCTGATCATGCCCTAGTACGAGCACGCATCTGCTTGCGCCTCACTGGACGCAAAAGAGCCACACAAAAAAGACTCATTAGAACCGAATTGAGTAATGAGAAAGCCAAAAGTAGGTTCCAGGAACAACTGAGGTCACACTTAGGTAGTTCTGAAAACGAGACTGACCCAGATGTTGCTTGGAAAGTTATACAAGCAGCTGTGGAAACAGCATTGACATCTACCAGTGAGTTAAACCACAGGGTTACAAAGAACCAATGGATTTTGTCAAGGTCTATTGCACTGATAGATTCTCGCAAACTCATCCCATCAGGTTCTGAATACGATGAAGAGCGTAAAGAAATCAGATCTAGATTAAGCAAAAGTCTAAAGAATGATCGTGAGCAGTGGTGGGCAACGAAAGCAAAAGAGATGGAAAAGGCGGCGGCTATAGGGAACACAAGACAACTCTACAGACTAATAAAAGAAACTGGAATTAATAAATCAAGTGTAAGTCAGACCATTTCGGAAAAAGACGACACTCTCATCTGCTCCCAGTCCAGACGCTTAGAACGATGGGCGGAACACTTTAAGGAGCAGTTTAGCTGGCCTTCAGCTACTCTACAACTACCCTCTATTCCCAGACAGTGTGAATGGAACATTGAAGTAGGTCCCCCAACTCTAGCTGAAGTTCAAAAGGCTATAGCTAATCTGAAACGAGGAAGGGCAGTTGGTCCAGATGGATTGACCCCAGAGGTCTTTAAGGATGGTGGTCTAGTCTTAGCGATTAGGTTGACTAATATTTTAGCTAAAATCTGGGAGTTAGACGTTATTCCATCTAACTGGTCACAATCACTTATCGTCCCAATATTTAAGAAAGGGTCAAAATCATCCTGTGACAACCACAGAGGGATTAGTTTGACTAATATAGTATCTAAAATACTAGCTTCGATAATTTTCGGACGCCTAACTAAAACTCGTGAACTGCAAACACGTGAAAATCAGGCTGGCTTCAGACCTGGTCGTGGCTGCATCGACCACATATTCACCATTCGTCAGGTTCTAGAACACAGGCATACTTATCGGCGTCCGACAATGGTGGTATTCCTTGACTTAAAAGCAGCGTTTGACTCTGTTGACCGAGAGGTTCTGTGGCAGTGTCTGTCATTGAAAGGCGTACCTCAGAAGTACATAAACCTTGTGAAGGCTCTTTACTCGAACACTACTAGTCGGGTCAGAGCCTATGGCGAACTGTCATCTGCTTTTGCAACCTCAAGTGGCGTCCGTCAAGGCTGTCCACTTTCTCCTTTTTTGTTTAACTTTATCATAGACATCCTGATGGAAATAACGCTCTCATCGACTGAATTCTCAGGTATTGATCTCCTACCAGGAGGTCCACTTATTGACTTGGAATACGCAGATGACATAGTCCTGTTTGGTGAAAACGCTGATGAAATGCAGTCTTTTGGTAGCACTGAGCAACAATGCCCGAATGTTTGGGATGCGCTTTTCTCCCTCTAAATGCAAGTTGTTGCTTCAGGACTGGTCTTCATCAACACCTGAACTAAGGATAGGGGGTGAAGTAGTCGAACGCGTTGACAACTTCACTTATCTTGGAAGTCTGATCAGCCCTAATGGGTTGGTGTCTGACGAAATCTCAGCACGGATTCGAAAAGCTCGCTTGGCCTTTGCCAACTTACGTCATCTATGGCGAAGGCGAGATATCCGTCTATCAATTAAGGGACGAGTATACTGCGCGGCAGTTCGTTCCGTCCTTCTATACGGCTGCGAAACATGGCCTTTAAGAGTGGAAGATATTCGTAAGTTACTAGTATTTGACCACAGGTGCCTTAGAAATATTGCGGGTATCTGCTGGGATCACCGGGTAAGTAATAGTGAGGTTAGACGCAGGGTATTAGGGAATGATGGTAAATCAGTTGATGAGGTTATGAATCTTCATCGACTGAGATGGTTGGGCCACGTGTTGCGTATGCCTGAACACCGATTACCACGACGCGCAATGCTGACTAGTGCAGGGGATAATTGGAAGAAAGTTAGGGGCGGCCAAACCAAAACGTGGCATCAGTGCTTGAAGTCACTAACTTCTGGTCTGAGCCATGTTGGGAGATTCAGACTGCCTGGTTGGGGTCCGCGTGACTATCGTAACCAATGGTTGGAGACTCTTGGCGACATGGCTCAGAATCGATCACAATGGCGTCGGTGTATACACTCTCTGTCTTCCTTAAATTAAGAGATTAAAATCGCTTCATATCTGTCTAGGAACTAATTCTTTCTTCCTTTACTATCTCCTTATACACAATCTTTCTTCTATATATTACCACCACTGAATTAACTACTCCTATGAATCCGGTGTTCATCTTGTTGTGCTAATGCGGTATGGCAACTTGGACCGATGCATATACGTGCCTGGTCCTACGTTGCAGCTGACTGACTGACTGACTTGGTTTGGCCAAGTTGATACAATAATCTGAATACTTCTAATCATCACAAACACACACAACTGATTATTATAAAATATAATATTCAAAACATCCCTTCATATCATAAATCAATGACATCAGACTTAATTTAAATAAGGTACCAAATCTCAACGTGACCATGAAATGCACGTTGCATTCACTATCTTTATGCTCTGAGTTGAATGAATTTGCTTCCGCTATTATAAGTAATTCATTTTCAATCACAAATAATTAATTTGGATACAGTCGTTATGATTAGTTATTTCTGTAAAGTCAGTTTTGATGCTTGTTGTCGCTAGTGAGATAATTGTTACGAAGTTGGATCGAATCGCAACCTCCGTTTCCACCACCAACAACCTAAAAGATTGAGGGAAAAATGAAATCACTACTAGAATAAGAGATCTGTCGGAATTCGAAAGCTAAATGCTTGGTAAATCGTTAAAAATGAAAACCTGAATCTAATATATGCTCAAGAATTCTTCTTTAAAAATTAATTGAAGAGCTTATGGAACTGAAAGAAACAAATGGACATAAAGATGCCACAAGTATTTGGAATTTGACAACACATTAACCAATAACACTTACTGTGATCAAAACGTACCAACAAAGTGAAAAAGGAGACAGAGGCGAAGAGCTTCAATGATATACTAGACAGCCTATCGATATACCGAGAGATGACTGATCTAAGCTGGCTAATGCTGTAGGGAAAGTAATTTCCAGAAAAAGAATTAGTAATATCGTGAATAAGCGAAGAACCAAAAAAACATATACATTTAGACGGAAATATACATATGGACATTCATCTATACATCCATATACAAACGTCTGGACGCTTCTCTAAATAAAATCACCAACAAGAACTATCGCATCACTCCCACACATTATATTCACAAATTAAACATCCAACTGAAATATCACTTCAATAATTTATCACGAGATCGAATACAAAAAAAAGGTTAACCACAAACACATTAAGTCCAACGAAATCAGATATTCCAAATGGTCACACACACAACAAAGTTCATCATGAAACTAATATCAACTAGTCAACATTCACACAACAACACACCTAGTTGATGCCTATCGACATACATCACACAAACACCCGTCAACTCACCTGAAACTCATCAACAAACCATTCTTGTCACCGCCACCCATGCACAACCACTCCATTCTATTCCGCACACAAAAACTATACTCCCATCTATTCAGTACACTCTCTCGATCGCCAAACCAACACCACCGTCTTCGCTCCTACAAAATAAACAAATAAAACACAAAAACAACACATCAATAGCTCATCACAATATCCACACCGACCAACACAAAAACACTAAAATCAGACATCCAAGTGACGGAGAACAACATCAATTCTCGAGTCAGTGGAAACCGCGAATGTATGGACAATTCATCATGAAACTAATATCAACTAGTCAACATTCACACAACAACACACCTAGTTGATGCCTATCGACATACATCACACAAACACCCGTCAACTCACCTGAAACTCATCAACAAACCATTCTTGTCACCGCCACCCATGCACAACCACTCCATTCTATTCCGCACACAAAAACTATACTCCCATCTATTCAGTACACTCTCTCGATCGCCAAACCAACACCACCGTCTTCGCTCCTACAAAATAAACAAATAAAACACAAAAACAACACATCAATAGCTCATCACAATATCCACACCGACCAACACAAAAACACTAAAATCAGACATCCAAGTGACGGAGAACAACATCAATTCTCGAGTCAGTGGAAACCGCGAATGTATGGACAATTCATCATGAAACTAATATCAACTAGTCAACATTCACACAACAACACACCTAGTTGATGCCTATCGACATACATCACACAAACACCCGTCAACTCACCTGAAACTCATCAACAAACCATTCTTGTCACCGCCACCCATGCACAACCACTCCATTCTATTCCGCACACAAAAACTATACTCCCATCTATTCAGTACACTCTCTCGATCGCCAAACCAACACCACCGTCTTCGCTCCTACAAAATAAACAAATAAAACACAAAAACAACACATCAATAGCTCATCACAATATCCACACCGACCAACACAAAAACACTAAAATCAGACATCCAAGTGACGGAGAACAACATCAATTCTCGAGTCAGTGGAAACCGCGAATGTATGGACAATTCATCATGAAACTAATATCAACTAGTCAACATTCACACAACAACACACCTAGTTGATGCCTATCGACATACATCACACAAACACCCGTCAACTCACCTGAAACTCATCAACAAACCATTCTTGTCACCGCCACCCATGCACAACCACTCCATTCTATTCCGCACACAAAAACTATACTCCCATCTATTCAGTACACTCTCTCGATCGCCAAACCAACACCACCGTCTTCGCTCCTACAAAATAAACAAATAAAACACAAAAACAACACATCAATAGCTCATCACAATATCCACACCGACCAACACAAAAACACTAAAATCAGACATCCAAGTGACGGAGAACAACATCAATTCTCGAGTCAGTGGAAACCGCGAATGTATGGACAATTCATCATGAAACTAATATCAACTAGTCAACATTCACACAACAACACACCTAGTTGATGCCTATCGACATACATCACACAAACACCCGTCAACTCACCTGAAACTCATCAACAAACCATTCTTGTCACCGCCACCCATGCACAACCACTCCATTCTATTCCGCACACAAAAACTATACTCCCATCTATTCAGTACACTCTCTCGATCGCCAAACCAACACCACCGTCTTCGCTCCTACAAAATAAACAAATAAAACACAAAAACAACACATCAATAGCTCATCACAATATCCACACCGACCAACACAAAAACACTAAAATCAGACATCCAAGTGACGGAGAACAACATCAATTCTCGAGTCAGTGGAAACCGCGAATGTATGGACAATTCATCATGAAACTAATATCAACTAGTCAACATTCACACAACAACACACCTAGTTGATGCCTATCGACATACATCACACAAACACCCGTCAACTCACCTGAAACTCATCAACAAACCATTCTTGTCACCGCCACCCATGCACAACCACTCCATTCTATTCCGCACACAAAAACTATACTCCCATCTATTCAGTACACTCTCTCGATCGCCAAACCAACACCACCGTCTTCGCTCCTACAAAATAAACAAATAAAACACAAAAACAACACATCAATAGCTCATCACAATATCCACACCGACCAACACAAAAACACTAAAATCAGACATCCAAGTGACGGAGAACAACATCAATTCTCGAGTCAGTGGAAACCGCGAATGTATGGACAATTCATCATGAAACTAATATCAACTAGTCAACATTCACACAACAACACACCTAGTTGATGCCTATCGACATACATCACACAAACACCCGTCAACTCACCTGAAACTCATCAACAAACCATTCTTGTCACCGCCACCCATGCACAACCACTCCATTCTATTCCGCACACAAAAACTATACTCCCATCTATTCAGTACACTCTCTCGATCGCCAAACCAACACCACCGTCTTCGCTCCTACAAAATAAACAAATAAAACACAAAAACAACACATCAATAGCTCATCACAATATCCACACCGACCAACACAAAAACACTAAAATCAGACATCCAAGTGACGGAGAACAACATCAATTCTCGAGTCAGTGGAAACCGCGAATGTATGGACAATTCATCATGAAACTAATATCAACTAGTCAACATTCACACAACAACACACCTAGTTGATGCCTATCGACATACATCACACAAACACCCGTCAACTCACCTGAAACTCATCAACAAACCATTCTTGTCACCGCCACCCATGCACAACCACTCCATTCTATTCCGCACACAAAAACTATACTCCCATCTATTCAGTACACTCTCTCGATCGCCAAACCAACACCACCGTCTTCGCTCCTACAAAATAAACAAATAAAACACAAAAACAACACATCAATAGCTCATCACAATATCCACACCGACCAACACAAAAACACTAAAATCAGACATCCAAGTGACGGAGAACAACATCAATTCTCGAGTCAGTGGAAACCGCGAATGTATGGACAATTCATCATGAAACTAATATCAACTAGTCAACATTCACACAACAACACACCTAGTTGATGCCTATCGACATACATCACACAAACACCCGTCAACTCACCTGAAACTCATCAACAAACCATTCTTGTCACCGCCACCCATGCACAACCACTCCATTCTATTCCGCACACAAAAACTATACTCCCATCTATTCAGTACACTCTCTCGATCGCCAAACCAACACCACCGTCTTCGCTCCTACAAAATAAACAAATAAAACACAAAAACAACACATCAATAGCTCATCACAATATCCACACCGACCAACACAAAAACACTAAAATCAGACATCCAAGTGACGGAGAACAACATCAATTCTCGAGTCAGTGGAAACCGCGAATGTATGGACAATTCATCATGAAACTAATATCAACTAGTCAACATTCACACAACAACACACCTAGTTGATGCCTATCGACATACATCACACAAACACCCGTCAACTCACCTGAAACTCATCAACAAACCATTCTTGTCACCGCCACCCATGCACAACCACTCCATTCTATTCCGCACACAAAAACTATACTCCCATCTATTCAGTACACTCTCTCGATCGCCAAACCAACACCACCGTCTTCGCTCCTACAAAATAAACAAATAAAACACAAAAACAACACATCAATAGCTCATCACAATATCCACACCGACCAACACAAAAACACTAAAATCAGACATCCAAGTGACGGAGAACAACATCAATTCTCGAGTCAGTGGAAACCGCGAATGTATGGACAATTCATCATGAAACTAATATCAACTAGTCAACATTCACACAACAACACACCTAGTTGATGCCTATCGACATACATCACACAAACACCCGTCAACTCACCTGAAACTCATCAACAAACCATTCTTGTCACCGCCACCCATGCACAACCACTCCATTCTATTCCGCACACAAAAACTATACTCCCATCTATTCAGTACACTCTCTCGATCGCCAAACCAACACCACCGTCTTCGCTCCTACAAAATAAACAAATAAAACACAAAAACAACACATCAATAGCTCATCACAATATCCACACCGACCAACACAAAAACACTAAAATCAGACATCCAAGTGACGGAGAACAACATCAATTCTCGAGTCAGTGGAAACCGCGAATGTATGGACAATTCATCATGAAACTAATATCAACTAGTCAACATTCACACAACAACACACCTAGTTGATGCCTATCGACATACATCACACAAACACCCGTCAACTCACCTGAAACTCATCAACAAACCATTCTTGTCACCGCCACCCATGCACAACCACTCCATTCTATTCCGCACACAAAAACTATACTCCCATCTATTCAGTACACTCTCTCGATCGCCAAACCAACACCACCGTCTTCGCTCCTACAAAATAAACAAATAAAACACAAAAACAACACATCAATAGCTCATCACAATATCCACACCGACCAACACAAAAACACTAAAATCAGACATCCAAGTGACGGAGAACAACATCAATTCTCGAGTCAGTGGAAACCGCGAATGTATGGACAATTCATCATGAAACTAATATCAACTAGTCAACATTCACACAACAACACACCTAGTTGATGCCTATCGACATACATCACACAAACACCCGTCAACTCACCTGAAACTCATCAACAAACCATTCTTGTCACCGCCACCCATGCACAACCACTCCATTCTATTCCGCACACAAAAACTATACTCCCATCTATTCAGTACACTCTCTCGATCGCCAAACCAACACCACCGTCTTCGCTCCTACAAAATAAACAAATAAAACACAAAAACAACACATCAATAGCTCATCACAATATCCACACCGACCAACACAAAAACACTAAAATCAGACATCCAAGTGACGGAGAACAACATCAATTCTCGAGTCAGTGGAAACCGCGAATGTATGGACAATTCATCATGAAACTAATATCAACTAGTCAACATTCACACAACAACACACCTAGTTGATGCCTATCGACATACATCACACAAACACCCGTCAACTCACCTGAAACTCATCAACAAACCATTCTTGTCACCGCCACCCATGCACAACCACTCCATTCTATTCCGCACACAAAAACTATACTCCCATCTATTCAGTACACTCTCTCGATCGCCAAACCAACACCACCGTCTTCGCTCCTACAAAATAAACAAATAAAACACAAAAACAACACATCAATAGCTCATCACAATATCCACACCGACCAACACAAAAACACTAAAATCAGACATCCAAGTGACGGAGAACAACATCAATTCTCGAGTCAGTGGAAACCGCGAATGTATGGACAATTCATCATGAAACTAATATCAACTAGTCAACATTCACACAACAACACACCTAGTTGATGCCTATCGACATACATCACACAAACACCCGTCAACTCACCTGAAACTCATCAACAAACCATTCTTGTCACCGCCACCCATGCACAACCACTCCATTCTATTCCGCACACAAAAACTATACTCCCATCTATTCAGTACACTCTCTCGATCGCCAAACCAACACCACCGTCTTCGCTCCTACAAAATAAACAAATAAAACACAAAAACAACACATCAATAGCTCATCACAATATCCACACCGACCAACACAAAAACACTAAAATCAGACATCCAAGTGACGGAGAACAACATCAATTCTCGAGTCAGTGGAAACCGCGAATGTATGGACAATTCATCATGAAACTAATATCAACTAGTCAACATTCACACAACAACACACCTAGTTGATGCCTATCGACATACATCACACAAACACCCGTCAACTCACCTGAAACTCATCAACAAACCATTCTTGTCACCGCCACCCATGCACAACCACTCCATTCTATTCCGCACACAAAAACTATACTCCCATCTATTCAGTACACTCTCTCGATCGCCAAACCAACACCACCGTCTTCGCTCCTACAAAATAAACAAATAAAACACAAAAACAACACATCAATAGCTCATCACAATATCCACACCGACCAACACAAAAACACTAAAGTCAGACATCCAAGTGACGGAGAACAACATCAATTCTCGAGTCAGTGGAAACCGCGAATGTATGGACAATTCATCATGAAACTAATATCAACTAGTCAACATTCACACAACAACACACCTAGTTGATGCCTATCGACATACATCACACAAACACCCGTCAACTCACCTGAAACTCATCAACAAACCATTCTTGTCACCGCCACCCATGCACAACCACTCCATTCTATTCCGCACACAAAAACTATACTCCCATCTATTCAGTACACTCTCTCGATCGCCAAACCAACACCACCGTCTTCGCTCCTACAAAATAAACAAATAAAACACAAAAACAACACATCAATAGCTCATCACAATATCCACACCGACCAACACAAAAACACTAAAATCAGACATCCAAGTGACGGAGAACAACATCAATTCTCGAGTCAGTGGAAACCGCGAATGTATGGACAATTCATCATGAAACTAATATCAACTAGTCAACATTCACACAACAACACACCTAGTTGATGCCTATCGACATACATCACACAAACACCCGTCAACTCACCTGAAACTCATCAACAAACCATTCTTGTCACCGCCACCCATGCACAACCACTCCATTCTATTCCGCACACAAAAACTATACTCCCATCTATTCAGTACACTCTCTCGATCGCCAAACCAACACCACCGTCTTCGCTCCTACAAAATAAACAAATAAAACACAAAAACAACACATCAATAGCTCATCACAATATCCACACCGACCAACACAAAAACACTAAAATCAGACATCCAAGTGACGGAGAACAACATCAATTCTCGAGTCAGTGGAAACCGCGAATGTATGGACAATTCATCATGAAACTAATATCAACTAGTCAACATTCACACAACAACACACCTAGTTGATGCCTATCGACATACATCACACAAACACCCGTCAACTCACCTGAAACTCATCAACAAACCATTCTTGTCACCGCCACCCATGCACAACCACTCCATTCTATTCCGCACACAAAAACTATACTCCCATCTATTCAGTACACTCTCTCGATCGCCAAACCAACACCACCGTCTTCGCTCCTACAAAATAAACAAATAAAACACAAAAACAACACATCAATAGCTCATCACAATATCCACACCGACCAACACAAAAACACTAAAATCAGACATCCAAGTGACGGAGAACAACATCAATTCTCGAGTCAGTGGAAACCGCGAATGTATGGACAATTCATCATGAAACTAATATCAACTAGTCAACATTCACACAACAACACACCTAGTTGATGCCTATCGACATACATCACACAAACACCCGTCAACTCACCTGAAACTCATCAACAAACCATTCTTGTCACCGCCACCCATGCACAACCACTCCATTCTATTCCGCACACAAAAACTATACTCCCATCTATTCAGTACACTCTCTCGATCGCCAAACCAACACCACCGTCTTCGCTCCTACAAAATAAACAAATAAAACACAAAAACAACACATCAATAGCTCATCACAATATCCACACCGACCAACACAAAAACACTAAAAGTCAGACATCCAAGTGACGGAGAACAACATCAATTCTCGAGTCAGTGGAAACCGCGAATGTATGGACAATTCATCATGAAACTAATATCAACTAGTCAACATTCACACAACAACACACCTAGTTGATGCCTATCGACATACATCACACAAACACCCGTCAACTCACCTGAAACTCATCAACAAACCATTCTTGTCACCGCCACCCATGCACAACCACTCCATTCTATTCCGCACACAAAAACTATACTCCCATCTATTCAGTACACTCTCTCGATCGCCAAACCAACACCACCGTCTTCGCTCCTACAAAATAAACAAATAAAACACAAAAACAACACATCAATAGCTCATCACAATATCCACACCGACCAACACAAAAACACTAAAATCAGACATCCAAGTGACGGAGAACAACATCAATTCTCGAGTCAGTGGAAACCGCGAATGTATGGACAATTCATCATGAAACTAATATCAACTAGTCAACATTCACACAACAACACACCTAGTTGATGCCTATCGACATACATCACACAAACACCCGTCAACTCACCTGAAACTCATCAACAAACCATTCTTGTCACCGCCACCCATGCACAACCACTCCATTCTATTCCGCACACAAAAACTATACTCCCATCTATTCAGTACACTCTCTCGATCGCCAAACCAACACCACCGTCTTCGCTCCTACAAAATAAACAAATAAAACACAAAAACAACACATCAATAGCTCATCACAATATCCACACCGACCAACACAAAAACACTAAAGTCAGACATCCAAGTGACGGAGAACAACATCAATTCTCGAGTCAGTGGAAACCGCGAATGTATGGACAATTCATCATGAAACTAATATCAACTAGTCAACATTCACACAACAACACACCTAGTTGATGCCTATCGACATACATCACACAAACACCCGTCAACTCACCTGAAACTCATCAACAAACCATTCTTGTCACCGCCACCCATGCACAACCACTCCATTCTATTCCGCACACAAAAACTATACTCCCATCTATTCAGTACACTCTCTCGATCGCCAAACCAACACCACCGTCTTCGCTCCTACAAAATAAACAAATAAAACACAAAAACAACACATCAATAGCTCATCACAATATCCACACCGACCAACACAAAAACACTAAAGTCAGACATCCAAGTGACGGAGAACAACATCAATTCTCGAGTCAGTGGAAACCGCGAATGTATGGACAATTCATCATGAAACTAATATCAACTATTCAACATTCACACAACAACACACCTAGTTGATGCCTATCAACATACATCACACAAACACCCGTCAACTCACCTGAAACTCATCAACAAATCATTCTTCTCGCCGCCACCCACACACGACCAATCCATTCTATTCCGCACACAAAAACTATACTCCCATCTATTCAGTACACTCTCTCGATCGCCAAACCAACACCACCGTCTTCGCTCCTACAAAATAAACAAATAAAACACAAAAACAACACATCAATAGCTCATCACAATATCCACACCGACCAACACAAAAACACTAAAGTCAGACATCCAAGTGACGGAGAACAACATCAATTCTCGAGTCAGTGGAAACCGCGAATGTATGGACAATTCATCATGAAACTAATATCAACTAGTCAACATTCACACAACAACACACCTAGTTGATGCCTATCGACATACATCACACAAACACCCGTCAACTCACCTGAAACTCATCAACAAATCATTCTTGTCACCGCCACCCATGCACAACCACTCCATTCTATTCCGCACACAAAAACTATACTCCCATCTATTCAGTACACTCTCTCGATCGCCAAACCAACACCACCGTCTTCGCTCCTACAAAATAAACAAATAAAACACAAAAACAACACATCAATAGCTCATCACAATATCCACACCGACCAACACAAAAACACTAAAAGTCAGACATCCAAGTGACGGAGAACAACATCAATTCTCGAGTCAGTGGAAACCGCGAATGTATGGACAATTCATCATGAAACTAATATCAACTAGTCAACATTCACACAACAACACACCTAGTTGATGCCTATCGACATACATCACACAAACACCCGTCAACTCACCTGAAACTCATCAACAAACCATTCTTGTCACCGCCACCCATGCACAACCACTCCATTCTATTCCGCACACAAAAACTATACTCCCATCTATTCAGTACACTCTCTCGATCGCCAAACCAACACCACCGTCTTCGCTCCTACAAAATAAACAAATAAAACACAAAAACAACACATCAATAGCTCATCACAATATCCACACCGACCAACACAAAAACACTAAAATCAGACATCCAAGTGACGGAGAACAACATCAATTCTCGAGTCAGTGGAAACCGCGAATGTATGGACAATTCATCATGAAACTAATATCAACTAGTCAACATTCACACAACAACACACCTAGTAGAAGTAGTGGTGGTAATATATAGAAGAAAGAGTGTGTATAAAGAGATTTAAGGAAGACAGAGAGTGTATACACCGACGCCATTGTGATCGATTCTGAGCCATGTCGCCAAGAGTCTCCAACCATTGGTTACGATAGTCACGCGGACCCCAACCAGGTAGTCTGCATCTACCAACATGGCTCAGACCAGAAGTTAGTGACTCCAAGCACTGATGCCGCGTTTTGGTTTGGCCGCCCCTAACTTTCTTTCAGTCATCCCTAACACCGGTTACCATTGCGTGTCGTGGTAATCGGTGTTCAGGCATACGCAACACGTGGCCAAACCATCTCCGTCGATGAAGGTTCATAACCTCATCAACTGATTTACCATCATTCCCTAGTACCCTGCGTCTAACCTCACTATTACTTACCTGGTGATCCCAGCAGATACCCGCAATATTTCTAAGGCACCTGTGGTCAAATACTAGTAACTTACGAATATCTTCTACTCTTAATGGTCATGCTTCGCAGCCGTATAGTAGAACGGAACGAACTGCCGCGCAGTATACTCGTCCCTTAATTGATCGACGGATATCTCGCCTTCGCCATAGATGACGTAAGTTGGCGAAATCCAAGCGAGCTTTTCGAATCCGTGCTGAGATTTCGTCAGACACCAACCCATTAGGGCTGATCAGACTTCCAAGATAAGTGGAGTTGTCGACGCGTTCGACTACTTCACCCCCTATCCTCAGTTCAGGTGTTGACGTAGACCAGTCCTGAAGCAACAACTTGCATTTGGAGGGAGAGAAGCGCATCCCAAACATTCTGGCATTGTTTTTCAGTGCTACCAAAAGACTGCATTTCATCAGCGTCTTCACCAAACAGGACCATGTCATCTGCGTATTCTAAGTCGATAAGTGAACCTCCTGGTAGGAGATCAATACCTGAGAAGTCAGTCGATGAGAGCGTTATTTCCATCAGGATGTCTATGATGAAGTTGAACAAAAATGGAGAAAGTGGATAGCCTTGGAGGACACCACTTGAGGTTGCGAAAGCAGATGACAGTTCGCCATAAGCTCTGACTCGACTAATAGTGTTCGAGTAAAGAGCTTTCACAAGGTTTATGTACTTCTGAGGTACGCCTTTCAGTGACAGACACTGCCACAGAACCTCTCGGTCAACAGAGTCAAACGCTGCTTTTAAATCAAGGAAGACAATTAACAAACGAGCTATCCAGGAACACATCAACACAACTCAAATCGCACCACTTCACATCACATATTACAGAGAGATATACCAATAATATGCACTGTCGTTATAGAGGCGAAAAAACTAAGCTTTCTAAATACTAATGGAATAAGGATTACGCATGTAAGTAGAACACTTGAACATATTCTTTTATGGTCAACGTTTTTAGGAACATAACTTATCAATTATGATTTACTACATTATGTTAGTTATCCTTATTTTCTGACCTTTAGTCATCATAGTTTTGCTCATCAATTTAATTACCTTTATCTATATTGACAGATGTACTTCGGTTATTTATATATTTTTTGTTACCTCATTAGTTCCATGTAGATTTAACCACTCCAAACTGGATAACTACAGAGGTCAAGAAATTTCTGGAACGTATGCAAATGAATCGAAGTATATTTATCTTTGCAGACTTGGAACAGTACCGATCCATTTATCGTAAGACTAGGAGCGCTTATAAAGCTAAACCTCCATACTAAACAGTCAGGATTGCGAAATTAGTCCGAAAAGATTGTTGTCGTATGCAAAGAGTCGAAATCAGAGAATTGATAGAATTCCATCACTCTTGGTACAAGAAAATCCCATACTTTTGCCAAGAAATGGTTTCGCAAAAGCTGAGGCTTTATTAGAATATTTTAGTAGTTTCCCTACCCACGACGGTGAAAGAACAATTTATCCTAATAATTGTGGCTTGTCGATGGATCCTGTAATTATTGAAAAACTGTTTTGCGATTACTTCAACATCACAAACGAGATAGTTATAGTGTTTCTGACGATAGCATCTTATTATGAAAACCCTAGTGGATACAATTGCTGAACCCCTGGCAACACTTTTGGACATATCTTTGCGGAAGTTTAACCTGTGTAGACGTCAAAGTAATTAAAAAGATTATTTAGGTGGCTATTTCAAACTATATGGGAGTGCACAATTTTCTAGCCAGGTAACAACATAGTTTTAGGAAACACCTATCATGCCTGACAAATTTGCTTATTGCAAGAGATTGGGCTGCAGCGTAAAATAGAAATGCTTCGGTAGACAAAAAGTCTATAGATATAAGTAAAGCCTTCGACGGCTCTCACTTGGGTCTTGAATTAAAACGAATGTTTCGGGATGCCCTATAAAATTATAAACTGGGGTAAGTAACTTGCTTAGTGATAGGAGACAACAGGTATGAGAAAATTATGCTCTATAATTATGGAAATTCGTAAAAGGTGGAGTTTCCCAAGGCACAATGCTTGGTCCTCTTCTTTTACTTTATGTGAATGACTTGCCACCTGTGGCAAAGTTATCAGTTCCACTCTACAGATAAAGATCAGGAGAACCATATACAGTATATCACACAGGACAATATAAAAGAACGACTTAAATTCACTGGTTGAGCGGATAGATGAGTGGTCATTAGAAGTTAACTCTAAAAAGTTTGGCGATGCAAATTAATAACTGAGACGACTCATATCACTACACAATATCTGGAGTTATGTTACCCAGAGCAATGCACTATAAAGATATAGGGGTCATGACAAGCAACGACCACAAAACTACAGATAACTGCAAGGCTGCCTCTGCTAAAAGCTACGAGGTCTTACGGATTATTCTCAAGTCATCTCATTTCTTCAACGAAGAAATTTTTAGGGCACCATACCCTAATCTCGTGAGGCCACATTCGGAATATGGAATTCAAGCAGCGAGTCCTTGTTTCAAGTATGAGGCGGATGTGCTAGAACGAGTTTAACAGTATGTCATATCGTCACCTTCCATTTAGGATTGATTATCAGAGAGGATATCTGGAGTTCCGCTTGTGGAACCGAGTAGTGGAATACTAAGATTACCCACCAAAACACGTAATATCAGTGCATTCTGAAGATGAATCCAAAGCGAAATTAGGTCTTTACAGTACCATTAATTACAATGATTAATATAGGTTTGTTTACACCCAATCCTTAATACTGAAGACTGTTTATCATGAAAAATCTGAAGCTGAATGAAAACATACATCTGGAGGATTTACAACGAGAATTGTAAGTTTCTTTAGTCGCCTAAAGTGAATTTAGTTGTCCCATGGAATTTCCTAAATTAATTAATTTAGAAAAGCCAGAAAATATCTCGGTTTCACGGCCATCGTATTTCATTAACACCGTTGTATCATTCCTTCTAGCTTTTCCCCCTAATTTTTTTTCACTCTACAATTTTGAGCAAGCTTTTCTGCATACTACCTTTCCGACATGCATAGTGTTTAAAAGTACAATGCTGGTTTAAATCACTAGGATTATTAAGCATTACAGTACTGATGAGACGCAATCTCAGTACCGGTGTTTTGGCAGGTTTTTCTGCTGATGATTTGATATTTTTCAAGACATTGCATTTACGTTTATAGCATCCTGTCACTCAGAATTGTTGTACCTTTGTTTCTTTTAGTGGTGGACCATAACACAACGACCCTGACATTCATAATCCCACAACGTAAAGTAGTATAGCAAAATCATGAATATTTAATCAGTGGCTGGAGAAGTGAAGTACTCCCCACAGTAAATAAGCTGTTACATACTTAAAGATGCCACGGATATTCATGGTTTGACAACGCTTTTAGTTGTAACATAACTAGTTGTGGGATATCAACCCAGTCAAACCAGAAGTCAAGAATGGTTCAAATGGTTCAAATGGTTGTGGAAGGAATAGAAGAAGCTTTCGCTCAACAGGCTTCCGTGTCTGGTAGCAGGGGATCACCAATACCTCCGGACAAGAACGTAGGTATATTACCGATAAAAGAGAAAAAAATGAATTGGTAAATCATAGTAAGATACTATCCTTAGTCCTTAAGAATAGATCAAGTCGCCTCTTAAAGGACTCCTGGGAAGGCGCTTGGACTAGCTCAGCTGGCGGCGAATTCCAGCATTTGACAACTCTTAAGGAGTAGAAGTTGCGTCTGCAATCCGTTCTACTATGTTGAATCTCCAATTTCTGGGTGTTATCCCTTAGGATAGTATTGGGACTAAGCTTAAGTAGGTGTTCCAGAGAATGTCTAGAAGTGTTGAGGATACTGTAAGCCACTAGAAGGTCACCTCTAAGACGCCTATACTCTAATGGGTAAAGGTCGAGTGATTGGAGGAGCTCGTCGTAAGGTTTAAATTTGAGTCACCGAAATGATTTCGTGGCTCACCGTTGGATACGCTCCGGAGTGTCCTTATCCTTTTGGAGTGTAGGACGGAATACTGTGTTTCCGTACTCTAAATGGGGACGAATGAAACTATTGAATATTACGTGAAAAGTTCTCCCGTCAAACTGACCAAAAATGCGCTTCAATGTTATCAGTGCCAGGTTTGCTCGAAAGGCATTTCTGTCACAGTTGGCGTAAGACTTTAAGTCGTAGGGCGCCAGGACTCCTAAATCTTTTTCGACTAGGAATACTACTAGAGAGGAGTTTCCTAAGTTGTAACTGTAATCTGTGACTTGTCGCAGATGGACTACTTTACACTTTGAGGTGTTAAAGGTAAGTCCGTTATCGTCTGCCCAACTTTGAAGTCGAGTCAGATCCTCCTGAAGTGCCTGTATGTCCTCTTGG